ATCCCATGTTTAATACTTCACAATCAATGTTTTACACTGTTTTATATAGGACTCCACTTTATTTTACTTCTTCATCACTCTAACGCAAAAACCATTGTGATGTCACAACTGCACTTAACTGTGGTTTATGAAAAAAATATCCAATGAGTCATATCCACGGGATAAAGGCGTAAACATGGGATAAATAGGTAATATTGTTAAATATATTCTTCTTAAGAATATGATGAAACTTATGTGAAAGCATTCTGAGGTTGTGCAGATTATAAGTTGTTCAAATCATGATTCATTTTTATTTTCTTTCAAATTATGGACCCTGAGTTAGAGTCTTAAAATCATTTAAAATTTGTCTGAAGAAAAGCAGTGCTTAAGAGACTCTGGTGAGCATTGTGGCCCATGATCCTCTTTTTTTTTTTTTTTTTTTGAAAAATGGAAGGGTGAGGAGAGTTTCTAAATCTACCATAAAATATTTATAAACAAAAAATCTTAGATCTTGCACACTTTGATAATTAAAAAAAAAAAATTTCTGAACATTTGGAAAAGTGGCTTGAAAGGGTGAAATGGGGGCTGGATTTTTTTGGGGTTTTTTTGTTTTTGTTTTTTGTTTTTGAATTTTGCAGCTATGCTTGTTGAAACATGTCCAGATTATTGATCAAAACTATGAGGTTTCAGATCTTACACATTGATGGTGAAGCTACAGTGGACTTTAATACCAGTTGCTTCTTTAAAACATGCAGCCTTAGTATCCAAAGTACTTTGCCACAAATCTAATAGCTGATTTCATGATATTATGGTGAAGGTTATCTCAAGATTTATTTAGGTAAGACATATATAGGTAAAAGAGAAAATCCTTAATTGGGACCTGTGATTTTGTTTTGCAAAAACAGTAGTGCATGGTTACAGCAAACATAATGAATTCATACTTACAGTGACCCTGCAGTTGTAAAACATATTATATTATGAACTTTTTGATATAATGAATTCTGTTTATAATGAATCAAATTGTCTATCCCTGACACTTCACTACAAGTTTGTACAGATAAGTGTGTACAGCTCATTCTTGTATTATCTTTATAGTTACTTTCTTGACACTGAACACTATAGAATGTTTGGATAAATGTGTTAGTTACTGTAAAATATCAACTTTAGATATAAGTAGAAATGCTTATGTGAATTAACCATAAAAGATGAAGACAACCAAATGGTCCTATTGATCATTTTCAATAATTCACCAAACATTGTCAAACTTACATTTTTATGCTCTACTGTTGGAAGAGAGAACAGTTAAAGAATGATAGCAAGATACTAGATTTTTCCTTTAATGACTTATTTTTCTTGATTTCTCATAAATTTAGTCTATAATTATGGCATGAATAGCTTCAATGTAATAATCTAACGCAGTTTAATAAAAAATGCATGCCAAAACTAAATTTTGGTCAAGCATTCTGATAATTAAGTCAAAGGTCAACAATTTCCTGAAGAGTTTATTGTAAATTAATTTGTATACATGTAACCATTGCAAATGCATACATGGATCACAGGTGCTTGGGGGGGGGGGGGGTCCCGTCCACAAGCACCTGTGATTGATTGATTGTATGTTGTTTTACGTCCCATTCAAGAATTTTTCACTCATATAGAGACGTCACCATATACCCGTGAAGGGCTTCAAATTTTGACCTTTACTTGGCACTCAGGGCCATTGAGCAGTGAGGGATCTTTATCGTGCCAGTGTCTGCCGTGACACAGGGCCTCGCGCTTGGCGAAGGAACAGTGCCGAGCGCATGGCGAAGGAACAGAACAGTTGCTACCCATTTTTTATCGAGTTAGGTCAGTCGCGGCCGAGATTCGAACTCACGACCTCCCGATCACGAAGTGAGCGCTCTACCGACTGAGCTACCGTGAATGGTCCAAGTACCTGTGACATGGATGATTTTCTTGCAAGGATTGCATGAACACAGTGTACGGGGTATGTAATATGATGTATTTGAGTGAGGATAAGTTATGAGATGCAGCAATATTTTGTTACGCACACAATCATAGAGAACAGTGAATGATAAGTAGTAATGAACCCCAATGTCAGAAGCTTGGAATACCATACAACATTCCTGTGTGTATGTTTTCCATATTTCACACGTAATTGATCGGAACATAATGAAACTGGAAGTGATTTAGGTAGATATTATGTTGAAATGTTTCCCACCTGACTCAAAGATACACAGCTTAAATGTGCTTAGCTGTTTTATACTCAGTGTTGGCATGTTGCTAAATATCATTAAAAGAATTTCTGGAAAGGTCAAGGATATGTTTGAACAAAGAGGATACAGAATAAATCTTTCACATTTGCATAAGTTTGAAAAATTCCCAATTCCCCTTATCAAATTGTAATTTTTACTCTTAAACTTAAAATATAATTTTGTTGTTGTTGTTGTTCTCATCTTTGCATTAATTAATTAAATGTTTCTTTGATGCAAATACACCAAAGAATACATACAATGTTTTCTTCTTGAAATATTGAAACATTAATGAATGGTAAACGTGTAGAAAACATTTTGTTGGAAATAAGTTAATCTTGGTATATTAACTCTTGTTCAAATCATCTGTAATTTGGATGGGTGGAGTAGCCTTCATTTTTGAATGTGAACAATACAATTTTTATGGTGTAGAACTCAAGTTAACTGCTCAGGCCACAGGGAAATGAAATGAAGAACCAATTACTGCACTGTACTAATTAATTCATTTAATTCATAATATCCCTTTGAGAGAATATCTTGTGCTTGGTTATTTTTTTTTTTAATAATTGACATTGAAAATTGAAGCAATTTTTTTTTTTTTTTTTTTTTTTAAATTATAAGACTGGTGCAGTTTTAATGTTTAGTCATACAAAGCCAAGCTGCTTCATGTCAAGTTCAGGGGCAGGTAACCAGCTGGGATATTTTATATACACCATTACATTCTTTTATATGGTCCAGTTGGGTTATTACTCATTCAAAAGATTATTCCTGTCTAGTTTATGTGACTTCTTGTTCTTTATTTAAGTAAATATTCAGTCTATGACTGAAGAGACTGATTACATATGGCCTGCCTAGGGTGAGTGTATTGGCCCATGGGCCTTTCATGTTTTGATAGAAGCACCACCATGTGACCGTGATTATACTGATATTTGTTATGCTTGTTATTTTTCTTGTGTGTGTAGATAACAAGAATATCAAGCTACAAAATGAGAAAACAATTTTTTACACTTATTAATACTGCACTGGCCTTAGTTAAACAAATTTTGTGAAATTATAAATATTTAAGTTAGTAAGTCTTGTACCTCTAGCTGGATTCTGTAGGGAGACTGGACTAACAAACCCTGAGCTAGTTAATTGGAAATTAAAAAGGCAAACCCGAGATTTTTTTTTGAATTTTAGATATATATATTTATTCATGTATTTACTATGCTAAGTAAATTTGTGTTTACTTAATTATTCTACACATTTCAAGCAGAAATACTAAAACTAGTTTTCAAAGGAAATGGCAATGTTAATTAAAATAGAAATATGGTAAATTGTTGTTAATATTATTTATTAAAATTAATTCTAAATAGAAATTTATGCTCTTTTTACATGCACATTCCAAGTCTATGCTAGAATCATATGAGATATTTTAGTGCAATTTGATGTCATTTAACAGTGTAACTTAATTTTATTTCCTTATGTTAGCAATCAAGGCTGTTCTGATGAGTCTGAGTACCATATATCACATTTTATACATAAGAATTTTATTTTCCCTTAATTATATATGTGAGACTTTCTCTTGTATATTTGTATTTTTAAGGTTGTATACAACAATAACCACATTTTGTGAAAATTTGTTCTTGCTTACAAATACCGAATAACTGTCTCATGAAAATAAAGTGTCATGGACATTTTGTGATCTTCGGTACATAAAACATATGCACAGATAAAGATTAGCTTGGGCCTTGATCTGTGAAGTGGAAGTTTGAGGGAGATCCAGAAATACTGTATACAGGGGAATTTTTGCCCCCATTTTATTTTCATCCCTTTTGCCCAACTTACAGGTGGGTGAATTTAAAATGGGGAGAACACAAAAAACACAGTATAATTTCTTAAGCTGAACTGTGATTGGGCGAATTTAAAACGGAGCGCTAGCAGAATTGTTTGCATGTTTGAAAGGGCAAAAATAACACAGGGCAAAAATAACCCTGCATGTATACAGTATGATGTTGTGATGTTAGGGGAAAAATAAGAAATTGTTGGTCTGCATATACTTTACAATGCATCTTTGATTTAAATGTTGATCAATCCATGTATGGAAAGTCTTTCTTTAGTGGGGGCATACGAAGATTGAGGTAACTGATTCATTTCATTGATGACATTTGTTATGGTATTCAATTTACGAAATACACTTCCCTAACCAATACTCTAATCAATCAGTTAAATTTGTTTAAAATATGACATTAATTTGCGTGTGTATTGAAGGTTGTTTATTCTCATCAAGTCATTAAATGCTATGGTGTTAAGGTAGCATTCAGAGGTCAGTAATTTGATAGACAGGTGGTGCACACTCTAGACTTATTAACTGTGAACATTTCTTCCTAAATCAATAGTCTTGGTTTTGTGATGAGGATAATAATGACAGCTGAATCAATTGCTAAATGCAGAATTAGATCTGTGTAATTTGAATGTAATTTAAAACTTACTTTATACAAATTACAAATATTCATTTGCTTTTCATGGAAATCCAGCTGTGCTTTTTGTGGAACTGCTATTCATAGCTAGTATATGCAATTTTTCTGAAAAATCATACTGTGTATGGGAAGTCATATTGGGCACATTTGTGTCATCCAATTTTTTTCTTCTTGTTATGATATGTACATTCTTGTATTTATGAAATGAAGAAATGCTAGAAAAATGCACTTTTCAGAAAAACAAATTTTTAACACATGAAAAGTTAAAAACAATTGACATCTTATTGATATCTGATTTACCTGTCTTTGACAGATGGAGAGAATTGTTGAAATGATGCAGGATGAGAATACAGGTGTACCAGTTAGAACGGTCAAGAGTTTTATGTCCAAAGTGCCAAGTGTTTTTACAGGTAAGCAGTACGTAGTTCAATGGTAGAATGTGGAGTATGTTGGAAAATGGAAATGTGGATTCACCTACCTAGTTGAAGGAGTGAATTTGATGACTTCAGTATGTTATATTTTTATTCTCCACTGGCCTCCCAAAGTCATTATAAAGAATAGTTTTCTGAAGAATCATTTAGCAAAGGCCAGATGCAAGTTTCTTAAAATGAAAAGATATTTACTTTTTTATATGAACTTGAGATTTGTTGAGAAATAATAAAATAGTAGGCTAAGGGCCTATGTAGTGAATTAACTATAGGATCAACATTAAATCAATAAGGACCAAGCCAGGAGGTCACAAAAGAAGTAGCATCAAACAAGCACACATTGCTTGAAGGAATTTTAATACCCCAATATAACCTGTATCTAGGAAACAATTTGTTTGTTAGTCTGTTAGTCATGAAACTTTGACCACAGGTTGGCCATCATAGGATCCCTGTCTATTTTCCAGTCTGAAGGTCAAAAGTTGCATGGTTTTCTGCCATATACCCACATCAAATGATTTCTGGCTATTATTTGAGAACTGTTCATTATAGTCATAAAACTTTGTTACACATAGGTCAGCCATGATAAGCAGATGACCTCAAATGGTTTTTAGGTCAAAGGTCGCCCAGTTTCTTCTATATCTACATCAAATATATGGGATTTCATCAATGTTGAAACCCTTTACTTATTTGTTATCAAGTTTTATATACAGCTGAGTCAGTATGATGAAAAAATATCCTTGAAATTCAGGTTAAAAGTCAAAGGTCACCTGTTTCCTGCTGTACAAATAGTGTCTAGCCAGTATGTAAAGAATCCTTTGCTTGATATTCATTAAACAGATGACCCCTATAAATTCAGATCTAGAGCTCAAAATCACCTGTTTATCAATCATCCATACCCTCATCAAAAATTGTTCCACCAATATCTTGAAAAATCCCTTTGCTTGATTGTTATCAAATTTTGTGCACAGGATGGCCACAATAAATGGATGAGTCCTGTGCACGAATATCAGTTTTCTGCTATACCCACATCAAATTGGAGCTGGACAATTTAGATGAATTTCTAAAGGTGTGAATGGACATTTTAACGGGAGCTCTAGTAGACATTTTAGTGAAGAAAAATTGGTGACCTGTAAAGATTTGATGGACATTTTAGCAGAATTTTTTTCAGAGATAACTTTAATTCTTTTTAAATAATCAATGTAAAGTATGCAAAAACTACCTATTGGTCAGCAGACTAATGACCAAGTATCTAACTCTTATGGACATTTAGATAGTAAATATAAGAAAACTCACTAACATTTATTCATTCAGGTAAATACTTGTACATATTCATTTGTAATTACAACACTGAACAGTATGGAAGTAGTAGAGGTGTAAAAACTAAACAAGAGAAAAGGAGTTGGACTTGTGATGGATTTCAGTGCAGAGTACTGGAGTTGATGACATGTATACTAATATTGAAGATTATCTGTGAAATGCCGCAAAGTTCATATCCCAATTGATAGTTTTAAGCAATAATTATATAATCAAAACTAGTTGAAAGAGCAGGGGGTAGCAGACTTAGTCTGCAAACAAAAAAAGTACATGTATATTGACTTAGAAACTAGCTCTCTTGCTAAAATGTCCAGGACCTATTTCAAAGAACTGCGAACAATGGTATTGTTTTCCCACCTACCTCCAAGTCAATTTTCAAAAGTTAACATATTTGAATGATTTTTCATATTTTTATAGATATTTATATGAATTTTCATAAAGCATTCATTATTTAGGAAAAGAAAGAGAGATAAATCTATAATTTTGGTAAAACTTGTGTTTTCACTATAGAAATCAATGGAAAACGGAAAATATTTTTAAAAACATCTCCCCCCCCCCCCCCCCCTCGTGAAACAAAAATTCATTTTTACAGGTAATATGGATTGTTATTTCACAAATTCATACCAAAGCTTTTAGTGTTTCATATGTTTACAGACAAAAAACGACAAAAATGCTCAATTTTCCACCAATTTCAAAGGGGTTTACAACTTAAACGTTGTATTTTATCAGTTACATATGTTTAATTTTTATCTGCATAAAACATAAGAAAAGATTTAAGGAACATTTATCCATATCCAAGAATATTTTAAAATATGCTGATGCTTTCAAGCCCGATTTCAATGGAAAATATCCTCTACCCCCCTTATAAAAAGAGCTAGAATTAAGAGTAATTAACTATTTTAACTGGTATTAAAATTATAAATCAATTACCATTGAACTATTCTTTGCATTCTACAAAGATTTTATAGCCAAATTGCCATTAGTATTGAATTAAATGGGTGTAAAATGTAGGCGGGAATCGAGAGTTGGCATGCGTAGTTCTTCTGCTAAAATATTCTATTAATCTTTTGCTAGAATGTCCACAAATTTTCTACTAAAACGTCCATGTTTTTTCCCCCACTAAAATGTCCTGCAATCCACTATTAAAAATGTCCAGCACTGCATGCATCAAATGATATCAACTTAAATCATAAAAATCCCCACAGGTTTTAGTTATCAATCAGGCTAGCTAGCTATGATAATCTTTTGAACCCCAGTTATTTCAGTTCATAAGTCAGCTGGTTTGCATCCTAGCTTCATAACAATATCTTGTTAACCCTGTGCTTGAGAGTGCAGATGCTGGCTATGACAAGTAGATAACTATTCCTGTAGAGGATGGTATGTTTGAAAATATTTTGAAATTTATTGATTTTTGAACTCAATCTGTATGTGAATATGTCTATTTTGAACACCTGTTTATATACAACTATATTGGCTACCATATTGAAGGTTGTTATGTAAATTTTATGCATAAAAAAATGAAGAAAACAAGATGTGTTTGTGAAACACTGATGCCCCCGTATGGCAGCTTATGGCGGAGGTTAAAGTTTCTCAAATGCAAATCAAAATCCAGGCCAAAAGATAAAAAATATTAAGTTTTCTAAAAGTAAGTAAATCATCAAGGTCAAGGTCAAAGTTGTTGGTATCCAAAGGAAGGTCTTGTCACAAGGATTACATATGTAAAGTATAAAAGCCCTAGCACCAACCATTCAGAAGTTATGGCCAAGGTTAAAGTTTTTTGAAAATAGGTCAAACTCCTATGTCAAGGTCAAAGGGTCAAAGTGGTTGATATCCAAAGGAAGGTCTTGTCACAAGGATTACATATGTGAAGTATGAAAGCCCTAGCACCAACCATTCAAAAATTATGGCCAATGTTAAAGTTTTTCAAAAGTAGGTCAAACTCCTAGGTCAAGGTCAAAGGGTCAAAGTGGTTGGTATCCAAAGGAAGGTGATGTCATGAGGATTACATATGTGAAGTATGAAAGCCCTAGCATCAACCATTCAAAAGTTGTTACCAAGGTTAAAATTTTTCAAAAGTAGGTCAAACTCCTAGGTCAAGGTCAAAAGGTCAAAGTGGTTGGTATCCAAAGGAAGGACTTGTCACAAGGATTACATATGTGAAGTATGAAAGCCCTAGCTCTAACCGTTCAAAAGTTATGGCCAAGGTTAAAGTTTTTCAAAAGTAGGTCAAACTCCTAGGTCAAGGTCAAAGGGTCAAAGAGGTTAATATCCAGAGGAAGGTCTTGTCACAAGGAATACACATGTGAAGTTTGAAACCCCAAGCACCAACTGTTCAAAAGTTATGGCCAAGGTTAAAGTTTTTCAAAAGTAGGTCAAACTCCAAGGTCAAAAGGTCAAAGTTGTTGGTATCCAAAGGAAGGCCTTGTCACAAAGAATACACATGTGAAGTTTGAAACCCCAAGAACCAACTGTTCAGAAGTTATGGCCAAGGTTAAAGTCTCTGGGTCAAACTCCAAGGTCAAGGTCAAAAGGTTAAATATGATGGTACCCAAAGAAAGGTCTTGTCACAAGGAATACATGTGAAATATGAAAGTCATAGCTCCAACCAATCAAAAGTTATGGGCAAGGTTAAAGTTGACAACAGAGAGATAGACAAACAGATAAACAGACAAACAGACAGACAGGACAAAAACAATATACCCCCGGGATCTTTCAATCCGGGGGCATAAAAAACATAATGAAAGGAGGGCAAATTTTTGACAAATAAATGCACTATGTCCTAAATTTTGTATCACCAATTTTAATATCTCCATTAGTGATCTAGTGTGATAAGAATAGTAAATTGTTTGTAAATGAATGTGATAAAAAAGGAACACCCAATGCTCTGACTAGTCATGTTCTGTAGACACGCTACAAGAAGTCAAATATCATTGGATTTATAAGCATTCCTGTGATGCAGGCAAGTCCCCAATCATCACTCACTACCTGTGTCAGTAATTGCTGCAATCAAGTTAACTTTCATGGCATGATAATGGATGATCAAGGTGTACTTTTGCCTGAGCTTTGTCCTGGGGTTTTACCAGAATTCCTCTGACATATTGCCTGAGTATATTGAATGGCTGATCAGCTTTCCTGGTGGGCTAGTGTTAGGGCCTCAAGGTGCAAAGTTTTATCTCTTTGTAAATATTTACATGATGGCAGATGCAGATTTTTTTCCCCCTCAATGTTCAAGCACCAGCACACAAAAAATATTTCTGTAAGAGTTTTCTGTATGTCAGAGAAAATGTCTATATAAGATAATTGAGATACTGGTTTTGATTCATTGAATCCAGGTTATTCTTTTTCTTTTATTCTTATGACATAATTAGCATTGTTTTATTTGTACAATTACTGAAGGACAGCTTTTTATAACTTTTTTGATGATTGCGTGCACACATATATTTGTCAACGGAATATAATTATGTATAGAACTGTATGCTAGTACAGAGCCACAATTATTGTGAGGTGTCATCCACATAAACCATACAAGTGCAAACATTAAAATAGCAAAGAGGAAACTTTACCATCATTAATTTCTCATGTCCACTGTAAATGTAGAGCAGACATCAATATATCTGTTTCATATGGTGATTGGGCTAATTTGGAACCAGGTTGCTGGAATGAATTTAAGTATGTAAATGATGAGTTATGGTCTTATCTTAAAGGTCAAGGTTGCAGAAAAATGTTGAAGAACCTTAATGTCCTTGAATGGAATGAATTTGAATTTTTTTTATATTATTTGCACTTGACCTATTTAAAGGTACTAGTTGCTTTTAATGCAGACACCAAGATTACTGGGCAATGAGGCATTAATTAATATGAATTCTTTCTCTTTTATTTTGTTGATCATATGACGTCATATTTATCAAGATCTTCATTCAAGGTCACTAGGTGATGACCAAGGGTTTTTCTTTTAAAAAAAAAAGATCAAGAGAGAGGGAAAGAAAGAGAAGAAAAATAACATTTTATTCAAATATGTTTCTTTTGGTTTAACTCGGAGATAAAATTGTAAAGTTCATCTTCTGAATCTCTAGCCTAGCTGAAATGATAAGCACACTCGGTTAACTGAACTAGGAGCCACCAGAGTTGTAATTAACCAAAAATTCCAAATACATGTAATAACAAGAACTGACTTACCCCTCTTTCCAATAAGATAGTTGACAATACAAGCAGAGCTTGTGGAAGAGTTGATAAGTATATTTTTGTTGCTTATTTTTTGGTGCTGAGATTTAGTGGCTTTTTTCCCCTCTGATTTTGTTTTGATTTGATCTCAGATTTAAGATAATACAGGAAGAGTACATTTTGATTTAGCAGAAAATGTATGATCACCTGCCAATATTTTTTTCCAAGAAAAAATGTTAAGAAAAACAAAAAAAACTGTTTCTATACAGCCAGCAGGAAACAGATGACTCTGGTAGTGTATGCACTCATTAAGACAGAAGTTTTGACATGATATGATATAGGAGGACTTAACAGTTAAATCATTTACAGCATGTTCTTTTAGTCATCCACTGATAGTTGGAAAGGGGGTGGGGGTGTGTGATTTGGAAGGGGGGCTTCTAATTGGAGGACCAGATAAGCCAGGAACATGCATTAATGTATAAACCTTTGTGTGCAGTTAAGCCTGTCTGAAGATGTTTGTGCATATGTAATCCAATGCAAGCAGGAGAGGGAAGAAATGAAACCCTTATATACTGGTACAAGATAAGGATCATTCTTTCATGTATGGAGTCAGACTTTTCCTCCCATTGATTGACCACATTGTTTTTTTTGTTGACAGGTGCTGATCTAATCACATGGATCATGAAGAATATAGATGTGGATGATCAAGGTTAGTGTATGGGGCTGTATTAATGATAGTGATAGTATCCTTTATATATGTGAAAATTTACAGCCTGCATTGACATTAAATTTCATGGAGTGATGTCTTGTTATGAAAGATATGTTTGTATTCATTTAGGTTTTGAATTAATGGGTAAGGGGTACCTCTATAATCCACAAAAATTGAGTCCAACAAAATGTAATAAATAAATCAAAGATTAATAAGATATTATAATAGTTAAAAAAATTTATACTTCAGTCAAACCTCGTTATCTCGAACTCGATAGGACCAAGAAAAAACTTCAAGATATGTGAAAATTCGAGATATCGAGGTAAAATACTTAAAGAAAAAGAACTTCCAAATCACTTCGACATATTCATGATATTCAAGATATCAGTGTTTGAGATACCAAAGTTCAACCAAAGGCGTCAGAACCGGGGGGGGGGGGGGGGGGGATTTGCAAAGATAGACATAATATAGACATTGAAAATCGGGGCTTACATTTTGTTCGTTGGTTTAGCCCCCCCACTTTCAATTAGCCACCCCATTTGCTTCAACTATATATACATGACTGTATAGGTGAAAAATTTGTAAATAAATAGATTACTTGGGTGAAAAACAATATTAAATATATGGATCCACTGAGTATTTTCTCCTTTGTTTCTTATGAAAACCACATTGCTGTTATTTGTAGCAGTAAGAATTTAACAATTGACTACAACAGTTATCGGTAATTCCAAATATGGAAGAGTTTCATGGCTCTTCCATCTGTATAATGTGTGGATCGATAATAACAATATTTTAAGCACTTTCACTCATTTGATATACATTGTATATGATTTAACAAAAGATTTCAATACAAATTATAAAAAAAAAATATTGTAATCATTGCAGGAAAAATTACATAATCTTCCAATGCAGGTTGTGTATTTTTTTTTCAATATGTTGCAAGACTTGAAACAATTATATATGTATCCCACTATTACCATAGGTAAAAAAAAAAATAATAAACAATGCTGTGTTTTCTTGAAATAGGTGTTGATGTATTTGATGAAATGAGTACTAGGGTTTGCTGTATTGTTTCAGTAGAGGCAGTCCACGTAGCTACTCTGATGGCATCCCATGGCTATTTCTTCCCTATAGACGACCATTACCTGATTGTCAAGAATGATAACACTTACTACAGATTCCAGGTAATAAAGCAAGTCTGATACAAATTAATAGATTCAAGGTAATAAAGCAGGTCTGATACAAATTAATAGATTCCAGGTAATAAAGCAGGTCTGATACAAATTAATAGATTCCAGGTAATAAAGCAGGTCTGATACAAATTAATGGGTAGATGTGTAAAAAAGCCTTTGTATAAGAAGGTATATTGGGTTTATGAAAGCAAAGTTAGTTGAAATGATAGCCTTTTCTTTGTCAGTTTCACGAAGAATTATGTTTCATATGAATATGAAACATGGATGTAAAGAACTGTCAAATATCACAAGTATTTATACTTCAGTAGGAAAAATAGTAGAATAAGATACATGTTAATTAATATTCTACTATAGTTATTGCCGAGATCAAAGAAATGCCGCAGACATTATTCTCCAATAAATCACGAACGTCATCAAAAAATTATCAGATCAGAAACATATATCAAACCTGTACAGTTGAAATGAATACTTGACTTTAGATTCTTATACTTATTTAGACCATATTGATGTGTTTTCTTCTGCAGTCAAACAATGTGTATTGCCTAAAACAGCTGATAAATGTATTTTATAGCTAAGTTGGGCTGTTCCACGGACCTCCCCAATATTTACACTCTGTGATTTTACTGATAAAGCAATGAAATAGACAACTGATTTAGTTTGTTTTTTACATTCATAAAAATTAATCAATATATGATACAAACAAATTTATAAAAAATTAAAGGATATTTTTAACCCAACGTAAGCTCAAATCGTCTGCATTCTGTGCAATCGATACACAAGTAAACAAACAAATTGACCCTCTGGTGTTAAATGGAACAACGTAATCGCGACATGGTGACCCAATTCGTTTCTCTATAGTGGAAACTTACGGCCATATTTTAGAGCTGTTAGTAGAATAGTAATGAAGTCCTTGTTGTCATGAATCATGCAGGATAACCTTCGAGGTTGAGAAATGTTGTTTGAAATATAAAAGCCTTGGGTAACGCCTAGGCTCTTATATTTCAAACAACATTTCTCGATCTCAGAGGTTATCCTGCAACATTCACGAAAACGCGGACTTTATTTCTTAATTTGGTATGTAAAGGATTGTAATCACATAATCCAGATTATTTAAAATTTACATGTTTGATATAACCGGAATGTGTTTTGCCTGAAATATGGTAAAACAAAGTTACATGAACTGCAGTGGACAGGGATAATAATGTTGGTAAAAAAAAATTAATGCTGGAGTAAATTATCAGTCGATGTCTTTACCTCGTAAAAGTAAAGATCCAACCGTTAAAAAAAAAAGTATGAAATGATGAGCTGGCCTAATTTCTTCGTTATATCGGCAAACTCAACTGTGTGTATAATTCCCTTGTCTCACTCACCTGCTTCCCCCCCCCCCCCCCCCAAGCAAGTTGTTTTGTGGCACCCACAAATACCATGGTGCTTTCAGAAAAGTAAATGTGAAAGCTATACCAATTTCTGGAGTATCTTATATACCAGTAATTTCTTGTAAATACCTGTTTTTTAAAGATGTCATAGTACCCAGGTAATTAACTTTGAGGAGCCAGATAAGTTCTTTTATTCTGTTTATGGGGAACAAATGCAAAATTTAATAAGGAGTAAATTTACTGTTCATACTGTATACTTTTACTGTATATATTGCTAAGTTTGTATAAACAAATTTTTACTTCATCAATATAAGATTTCACCTAAATCTTCTTCCAAGTTTGTAAAGTCCCTTATGAACAGTGTAAGAGATCCAGGACATGAAACAAACTGCAAAGAAATGCTGGCAAACAGACCTGATTGATCATTGAAAACAACATTCTTTCATGCAAAGAAATCATTTCAGTAAAAATTTATAATGGAGGAATATTGATGTGGGCAGCTAAAATTACATTGGAAAGCAAAATTTATGTTTAAGTATTATCACCATGCAATAGCAGCTGGATTTTAAACAGAGCTGTCTTTCAAGATTTCAGGTCAAGTTTCAAATAAACTGAATATAAAAAAAGGAAAATAAGGAGGGAAAATGAAGTTTACTGTCTTTAGTATAATTCTGATGTTACATTTGTGGTTCTTTACTCATTCATTTAGATATTAACATTCCTCCATCACTGATTTTCCAATTCACATTTATTTGAAATACAATTAATTCATATTTTTTTCCTTCATGACAGAGTAGGTCATTCATGATCAAAAGCCCACAAACAAATGAAGTATTGTATGCTTTACCCACCCATCCCCCTAAGACATTGCTTTTTTTTGTATGCAGTAAAATTGAGGAAACATTTAATCAGACCTGCAGTATGTATCGTAAGCAGAGTCCAAGGACAATCAAGTAGAAGCTTTTTTTTTCCTGACATTATTCCCTATTGATTCCATTAGGGTCTAAAAGACCTGCCTTCAGCCTGCATATCACTTCCGTCAATATATCAATATCATCTCATTTCATGTCCCCTTTTAACAATTTCCCTCATCTAGATCAAAGATATTGCAAAAGTAGCAACTGTGAATCTCGCCATAAATAAACAGGTCACGACATTTCTCAATACATTAAGTGTTAGCTTTGTTGGTCGATTGTCATCATCATTCTTGACTACGATATTTTGCGAAGCATCTTTAGGTGTATTTTATTTTCCAATTATTTCCCAAGAATCCCCTTCATTCTCCTTTGGAAGGGAGTTTATATTTTATAAATTTTCTTTAGCTTAAGTTCATTTGAGCCTTATAGTTTCAAAGTAGCTTTTCTAATCAAAGTTTATCCTGCTTCTGTTTTTGTCATCAATGTATCTGATGTCGGCAACTTTTCATTGAACATTTTTGACTTTTAACAAAATGACCAAATTTGAGTACTCCCAAAGTCATTGTTGAACTTTTGGGAGTACTTTGAATAAAGGCCAATGGCCATATTCCTGACAAATGAGAGGTGGTTTAGAAATGAAGGAAACTGCAGAGTGGGTCATTTTAAAAAAATGTTTTCTAAAACTTTTGAATCAGAAGAGTAAAAGCGTACTAGTATTCATAATAAAGCTTTGTTATGTTGTGTAAAATTAAGTTCATTCAAGTCATTAACCCATTGGTCAGGATGAATTTGGAATAGGGGATGTGATCATGTCTGTAATTTGAACCCAAGGTTCTAAAAATCTATGAAATATTAATGTACTCTGTAATTATGTTCTGCATACGCTTTTATGAAGTGATTGAAGCTGCAATTTGAAATGGTCTGCTATGCATGTAAGAAATGATTTTGCTTTTTGGTAGAAGAAGACCATGCAACTATAATAAATCAAATATGTTAAGTATTATTCACTCTTGTGATAATGATTTTTCTTCTTTACAGACACCATGTTTTTGGCCATCTAGGTGTGGAGAACCAGAAAACACAGATTATGGTACGTAGCTTTTATAGAGATCTATACGTGGTGTATCTTATACCTATATATCAGCCAGGATATGGGTCATTTTATCTCTACAAGGATTTAAGAATCTCTTCATATGTACATGTATCTTTATGGGAAAGGCAGGATATTTTTCATATGATATAATTTTATCTTGATCAATATCTTCTCCATTTTTGATCTCAGGATCTTTGTCATACATTGTATTTACCAGTACCTCAACATACAATCAATCAATCATATATATGTGTTTATGAATATTGGAATATCCTTAAAATGTTTCATCAGTAGGGAGTTTAGGAACCCAGATTTGCTGTCAAAGATTTTCCTATATGGATCTTTGGTTCTCTGTCAGATGTATCCCTTAAAGGGGTTTAGGATCTCGGTCAAATATCCCTGTAGGTGTCTCAAGATTTTTGTCATATTTATCCATACATGAATATCAGAATCAATGCATCCATGTAGAAATTACACAAAATTGTTGCATCTACATGTATTCCCATAAAGATTTTGGGATCTTTTTTTTAAAGGAATTCCTGATTTTCTTAAGGAATTTAAGAATCTCTTTCAAATGTATCCATAGGGAACCTTGCCTTTTTTTTATATTTCTATCTAGATCTCAGGAACTCTTTCACATATATCCAGAAAGGGATCTCTGTCCAATGTTTTCTTCTATAGATCTTAAGTTCAGACTGTGTCTTAGAAGGAATTCCTAATATGGAATTCAGAGTAACTAGCATATGAAATATCATGTCTTATGAAAATGTACACGAATTAATGTATATCATTTATTCAGTGATAGGTCAAATGATCATCCTATTTGTCAGGAAACCATTGAGTTCCTTTGTTAGTTTGTATGTTTTTATGAGAGATTTTAATAATGATGAGTTTCAAGAAACAGTATGTGTGGGTGGGGTTAATTATACTATGTAAAAGACAGGGACTTTTAAGAAATTAAATGCCATATTTTCTAGTTCTCTATAGGATGTATACTGGTGGTGTACCTGTTGGGAATTGAGTACCTATAAAATGTAATGAGATATGCATTAAATATAAGGTGTTTATGTCATGATATGTAAAGCTTTATTAAGTATATGATTATGTACAAGTACATTTGTTTTAACATAAATTACAGCTGCAGCTCAATCATGATATGTACGTGCTTACTTACATGTACCAGTACAAGTGCACTATCATTAATAGATATTGTAAAAGATCATACAGAACTACCAGACATTATTTACAGTAGATGAAAGAGAATTTTTAAAAATATCTGACCAAAAAAAAAAAAAAATCTGCCAGACAGTGTAAAAAAAAAAAAAAATTAAAGATCATGACATAGTCACATTTGTGGAAAAGCAATAGATTAACATTTGATGCTCTACTATAGTGAGTTGTATGTAAGCATGTACATCATGAGTTCCTGTAATTAATGATAGAGCATATGTACTGATACATCTATTTTAAAAAAATGCTTTGAAATGCATAAATTTATAAATTTCAATAAGCAATGCAAATAATATTTTTCTCTTCAATTTTTTTTTGTTCAGTATATTTGCTGGACATTTGTCTGATTTGGTTTTAATTTTTATCAGGCAACTAAATATCTGGCAATCTGGTGAATTAAGTACAGGAAATCTTATATATGTTTTTTACACACATGTACCAGTACATTTGCACTACCATCAGGTACAGAAACTCATAATATGTGTAATTTGAAATAGTATCAGCAAGGTATGTATGACTTTTTGAATGTCCAATTTCTGTATTTATCTTTTGTAGCTGTTTACTTATGCAAGAGAACAATGCAAAACAAACAGAGATTGGAGCTGGCAGATTATGAGGCTGAAAACTTGGCAAGGCTTCAGAAGATGTTCTCAAGAAAATGGGAGTTCATATATATGCAAGCCGAAGCACAGGCAAAGTAAGCCAATTGAAGCTTTGCGTGGGTGTATCTGTAAATGACAGGGACTATCGCTAGTCTTCTTAAAGATCCTCTGTACTCTCTAATCCAGGGTGTTCATGACATATGTATTGATACTGGGCCCACACAATTTAAATATGATTGTCTCAGTTATGGATTGGTGATTTCTGATTGGTCAGTAGATTTATGAGGATAGTGTAGATCCACTAGAGTTATTTTGAAGATGGTTATTTGTGTGCATGATGCTTAACATGAATTCAAAGCACTTAATGCACAAAACAAATTATAAACGTCATAGAATTAAAAAGCTAGATTAGAAAGCAAGACTTTGAATTATTAATTAGCTGAAAACTCTTGATCAGACACCCTTGCATATGGTAATTTTTATTTTAATTAAAGAACTAAGACCTTAATTTATTATTGGAAAATTAGGGATGCAAGACAGATAATCAATAATTAAAACTGATCATTAATTAACTTACCCTAAAGGTCACACATTGTTAAACATCAAGGTATCATTTGTTTTAAAAACAATTTTCAAGGGAGTATTTTTATTGGTGACTTGATTTGATGAGGAAATTTGGTCCAAATTTGGTTCATTAGTTATGTGTTTTGCAGATACAAATGTTACATACTATATGGCTACCAAATTTTTAGTGTTTGTCAAGTGAGCATGACATCATTTAAAAAGCAAATGTACTATATCTTTCTTTCAGTAACAACAGTGTTGGGATTTTTATCATATTATGTAAGAGTTCATTTTCAAGACTAAGATCCAAACTAATCAAGATCCCAAATTATTTTTACATGTAACTCATGTTAGTCCAAACTATTAGAATTTTCTCCAGACTATAAATCTCCAACTGTCCAAGTTCATTTATTCTCTCAAAACTATTTTAAACGTATGGCACATGAGGACAATGTAAAATATTACAGCTAGAGTACATAAATTTAGGTCAGTGCATGAAATCTTGGTGCATAATAGCGAGCGGCGCAAAGCGCCGCTCGCAATGCGAGCTCTAACGACAACGCCTGGGCGAAGAGAAAATTCGGACTTACACATTGATCCAAACCAGAGACATAAAGTAGATTATATGTCTCTGTCCAAACGAATTTTTTTCCGCAGTTACTTCTGGACCCACAATGCATCGCTAGTTTAAGCTACGTTCTCGTGAGAATAACAACAAAAGTTTAACAAAAAATAAACTCGCCTTGATTTAATGGATATATTGCAGATAAATAGTAAATAAAACGTTCTTCATGAAAGTCAACAATGTTCAGGCTTCGGTTTGGTAATGCAACTTAAATACGACATCATGTGACTTCAGAGTCTAGACGCACCAAATGTCACGTGCAGTTTGACGATCGAGCCCAATCTAAGTTAAAACTGGATAAGTGTCTGCGCTCACCCTAACGGTCGCACCGTCAACATATTATGAATGTGAAAAAAAAATAGGAAAAATCATGGAGGACAGACTAATTCATATATTTTTAAAATAAACATACATAGTTTTTTCAATGACTTAACATCAGATTCGAAAATTTAAGTACATTTGGTCTAATAAGATAAGTGTTTGTTAATACACTTTTTAGGTCACCTGAGTTACTCAGGTGACCTATTGCTATCTCTTTTCGTCCATCGTCGTCCGTCGTTCGTAAACTTTTGAACATTTTCAGCTTCTTCTCTGGAACCAATGAACCATTTTCAACCAATTTAGGCATATAGCATCTATGGGTGAAAGAGAACAAAAATTTTGAAATTCCTGGCCCCTGCCCCCCTGGGGCCTGAGGGGTGGGGCCAAAACAATCAAAATTAATGCAATCTTTAAAAATCTTCTTCTTTACTTCTGGACATCAAGCAGTCAAACTGTTAAAATGATTGTAATAAGCATTGAGCCCTCTACTTAAATTGTGAAATTCATGGCCCCAGGGTCAGGGGTTCTGGTGCTAGGTTGGGGCTCTGTTGACTATGTAGTGATAATGCATTATTCCTTAAAAAAATTCTCCTCTGCTCCTGGGTATTCAACAAACAAACTAAATGCATAGTTATGATAAGCAAGTGTGTCTCTTCCAAAATTGTGAATTTCATAGCCCCTGGGTCAGGGGTTCTGGTGTTAGGGCGGGGCTCTATTGATTATATAGTGAAAATGCATTAATTCTTTGAAAATCTTCTCCTCTGCTCCTGGATATTAAGCTGATGAACTATGTACAAAGTTATGATGAGGAAGAGTGTCCTATCCAGAATTATGAATTTCATGGCCCCAGGGTCAGGAGTTCTGGTTTTAGGATGGGGCTCTATTGATTATATAGTGAAAATGTATTAATTCTTTGAAAATCTTCATCTCTGCTCCTGGGTAATAAACAAACTAAATGAGTATTAAGTTATAATGAGGAAGGAAGCCTCTTCCAAAATTGTGAATGTCATGGCCCCTGGGTCAGGGGTTCTGGTGTTAGGGCAGGGATCTATTGATTATATAATGAAAATGCATTAATTCTTTGAAAATCTTCTCCTCTGCTCCTGGGTATTAAGCCGATGAACCATGTACATAGTTATGTTGAGCAATTGTGTTTCTTCCAAAATTGTGAATTTCATGGCCCCTGGGTCAGTGGTTCTGGTGTTAGGATGGGGCTCTATTGATTATATAACAAAAATGTATTAATTCTTTGAAAATCTTCTCCTCTGTTCTTGGATCATTAAACCGATGAACTAGCTGCATAGCTATGATGAGGAAGAGTGCCTCTTTCAAAATTGTGAATTTTATGACCCCTGGGTCAGGGGTTCTGATGCTAGGGCGGGACTCTATTAATTATATAGTGAAAATGCATTAATACTTTGAAATCTTCTCCTCTGCTCCTGGGTATTAAGCTGATGAACTATGTACATAGTTATGGTGAGGAAGAGTGTCCTATCCAGAATTATGAATTTCATGGTCCCTAGGAAAGGGGTTCTGGTGTTAGGAGGGTCTAATGATTATATAGTGAAAATGCATTAATTCTTTGAAAATCTTCTCCTCTGCTCCTGGGTATTAAACCAATGAACTATGTACATAGTTATGATGAGGAAGGATGCCTTTAACAAAGATATGAATTTCATGGCCCCTGGGTCAGGGGTTCTGGTTTTTGGATAGGGCTCTGTTGATTATATGGTAAAAATGCATTAATTCTTTGAAAATTTTTTTCTCTGCTCCTGGGTATTATGTTGATGATCTAAGTACAGAATTATTATGAGCAAGGGTGCTTCTTCCAGAATTTTGAATTTCAAGGCCCATGGACCAGGGGTACGGGGGGGGGGGGGGGGGGGGGAGCTCTAATGATTATATATACTGAAAATGAAAATATGCTTTGAAATCTGCTCTTTGGTATTAATCAAACATTTATTATGAGCAAGGGTACCTTTTTCAAAATTGTGAAATGTGTGGCCCCAGGGTCAGGGGTTCCTGTGGGATGGGTCACTACTGATTATATAGTGGAAATGCATTTTTTCTTTGTTACTCTGCTCTAACTCTGGGAATTAAGTAATCAAACTAAGCATGCTAAGTGTATAGTTATGATGAGCAATGGTGCCTTTTTCAAAATTATTGATTTCATGGCCTTTGGTTAAAAAAAAAGAATCAAATTCAACTGTTGGAAAGTTGTTACATGATACTCGGGTGACCTATAAGGCTAGTGGGCCTCTTGTTTGCTTACCTTAGCCAAAGGCTCAAGTGAGCTTTTCTGATCAAAATTTGTCTGTTGTCTGTCATTTCATTGGCATTGTCATTGTTGTAAACTTTTCACATTTTCATCCTCTTCCCCAGAACTACTGGGCCAATTTCAACAAAACTTGGCACAGAATATCCTTGGGTAAAGGGGATTCAAGTTTGTTCATGTGAAGGGCCACATCCTCTTCCAAGGGGAAATGATTAAGAAATAATGAAAAATGGGTGGGGTAATTTAAAAATCTTCTTAAGAACCACTGGGCCAGAAAAACTGAAACTTGTATGAAAGCTTTCTGGTGTAGTGTAAATTCAAGTTTGTTCAAATCTGCTCTATATACAGGGGGAGAGAAGAAGATTTTAAAAGAATTTTAGCATTTTCACTATATGATAAACAGAGCCCCACCCTAACACCAGAACCCCTGACCCAGGGGGCCAAGGTATCCACAATTTTGGAAGAGGTTTCCTTGCTCATCATAACAATATACTTGGTTTATCTGCTAAATATCTAGGAGCAGAGAAGAAGATTTTCAAAGAAATAATGCACTTTCATTATATAATCAATAGAGTCCCCCTCCTGCAGAACCCCCTCACCCTGGGTCCACAAATTTCACAGTTTTGTTAGAGGCACCCTTGATCATCATAACCATGCTCTTAGTTTATCTGCTTTTTATACAGTGGGAGAGAAGAAGATTTTTAAAGAATTTATGCATTTTCACTATACAATTATTAGAGCCCCACCCTAACTGCAGAACCCTTGACTCTGGGGCCAAAAACTTCACAATGTTGGTAGATGGCTCAATCCTTATTACAATCATTCCAACAGTTTCAATGCTTGATGTCCAGGAGTAAAGAAGAAGACTTTTAAAGATTGCACTCATTTTTATAGTTTTTGCCCCATCCCAAAAGCCCCAAGGGGGCAGGGAACATGAAATTCACAATTTTTGTTCCCCTTCACTCAGAGATGTTAAGGCACAATGCATGATGTGCTACAAGGGACAAAAACGGATAGAAATAGGTCACCTGAGTGACTCAGGTGACCTAAAAATATAAAGTTCAAGTGAATATACTGCCCAATTCACTAGTAAAGTATGTCCAAATTTGAATTTTATATTGATTACCCACAATAATCAGTGTGTTTTGATTGAATGGAAATGTTGATTAATTGGTTTAATTAACTTTTTTTTTGCTAAAGTCCCACTAGTATGCACAGAGACTAGTGCTTGTAACAATTAATTTTGGACCTTACAACTTAATATGTGAAATTCATGTGGTATTTAAAATACATGAGTGATTAAAGTTTTCTATTCTCCTGAAAAAACTAAGCAGCATCACCCATTCTTTCCACCTTGGCCTTAATTGCAGTATTGAGTGATTTTTGTTTATTTTTCATATAATTTAACTGTCAGAGTGGACAAAAAGAGGGATAAATTGGAGAGGAAGGTTTTGGACAGTCAGGAGCGGGCCTTCTGGGATGTCCACAGACCAGTGGTATGTTGATTTTGTCACATCACTGTTTTAGTTTACAATGTTTACATCCACGGAGTATTATCTCCTTTATTTCTTAAGAAAACAATAGCAGTTTATCAATCAGTAAACACTGCCCAGCATAGCACCTCTATAGATTTCTTGAGCAGCAGCTGTTCCATCAATTAAATGTACAATGGCATACATATCAAAAATACAATATTTCATATACTAAATCCTACTTTAATTATTATTTTTACAGATATAAATGTAAACAATAAAATGTCTTTCTTTGTTAGTACGGGAATTAATGTCACAGCTATTGCAGAAAAAAATTACCTGACCCGCTTATGCGGTTATGTATTTTTTCTGCAACAGCTGCTACATTAATTCCTGTACAAACAACCAAGGAAAGCATTTTATTGTTTAAATGTTTGTATGTATTATAATAAAGGGAAATAATCAACAGATTTGAAGTTGCTTTGAGCGAGTTTCTTCAGAAAGGCAAAGTGTTTACATGGTTTATTTGCTATTGCTGTTCTTAGTACTTTGATTATGCATTCATTTTTGCAGCCAGGATGTGTAAATACAACAGAAGTTGACATTAAGAAAGCATGTCGAATGAATCGACACACAAAGATGATTCGTGTAAGTAGCATGGTAAGTGCATGGTGCCCGCCAAGCTGACCTGACTTCAGACTGAGGCATGACTACTTCTGTATATCTGGTATAGAAATTACTTGTTTTAACATTTCATTTTTTCATGATGTTTTCAAAAGCAGCAGATAAAAAAAAGAAAATGGTAAATCAAGATGTCTTTGGTATTTTTTTCTCTCTTTTTTTACTATATAATAATTATAAAATGTATAGTCATATTTTTTGTTGCAAGGGGGCAGTCACATCATGATGTAATGAAATATAGATTATTTGCTGAAAAAGAGATTTGTGTAATCTCATGGGTGTATCTCTATATTAGTGGCTTATCTTTAAATCTTATCTGATGAATTTTTGATTTATTGAATATTTTATTATCTTTTTTTTTAAAGTGTTATAGCTTTCTCCTTATTTATTTTTTACCTGTAACCTGAATATGCACTCTTAGTTTCTCAATTTGTTAAATTTGAATGTCAGTTACTCTTGCAGTTTTCTGAAATGTAAATTACAATGTTTAAAGTGCTTAGATTTTCTTTATCGAATGTTTGAAAGAAAATTTAAGAAATAAATAAATTTGTGAAAAAAAAGGTTTTCTTACTTGCTATAGAACTGAAGAAATCAAATAAATTGTCTTTTTGATAAGTAATTATTTCTTTTATAGCCAAATTATGCAGTGCCTGGAGGCAGAATTAGTCCCAGCATATCAGAAGCTGAATTATGTAATCCATGTGACAATATACGACATGATGTGAGAAAAAGTTATATTTTTTATCTTCTTTCAATTTTTTAGCTCACCTGAGCTTAAGCTCATGTGGTCTTTCTGAACAAGTTCATCTGCCAGGTGTCTGTAGTTGTTAACTTTTTAGCTCACCTGAGCTGAAAGCTCAAATGAGCTTTTCTGATCGAAGGGTGATGGAAAGCTTCATTACATAATGTACATGTAGATTCAAGTTTGTTTAAATCATGACTCCCTGGGCTAGGGCTGGACCACAATAGGTGTTTAAAGTTGTCCATAGAAATATATTGGAAAATATCTTTAAAGAATCTTCTTCTCAAGAACAGCAAAGCAATGATTAGTATTATTTATTTGGCAGCATCAACAGGTATAGTAGATTCAAATTGAAAACATGACCTCAGGTGGTAGAGTGTGGCCACAATGGGTCATTTCAGATTACATAGGAATACTGTAGATTCCTTATTTTTCATGAGTACTTATTATCGCGAAATGGTTCTATAATGTCAGATCACGAGAACAATAATTCTCGAATGGACAGTTGATCATAAGATTTTACATTGATTTCAGCACCATAAAAATAAAAGTGAGTAGTTTTATTTTGTGAATGGTGCTTCTTGCGAAATTAAGCGATAATTAATTCCTCGCTTATATTTAGGAATCTACAGTATATAGAAAGAATCTTAAAATCTTCCTCTCAAGAATAGAAGGCCTTTATAAGTCATATTTATATGAAAGCATCCTCAGGTAGTGTAGATTCAAATTTTGTAAAATCATGACCCCTTTGGGTAGGACGGGGCCACAATAGGCAATCAAAGTTTTACGTAGGAATAAATAGGAATTTTTTTTTGGTAAAATTTTCTACTCAAAAATTAAAAAATTGTGATTAGTCATATCTATACTTATAAATTAATAAATTTTGCAAATAAACTCCGAAACGGGTGCACCAGAGTTCTTACTAACTCTTCTATGAATACATTAGATACAAGATGATGTCCGTAAACTATATTCAGATTTCACTCGCATAGTAAGCATCGTACATTAAATTAAAAGTCTACTTCCATTTTCTATAAACAGCCATGAAATAGCAAAAACGTGAGTACGGTGGCGTTTCCAGTTGGCGGATCTAAGTTACTGGCAATTTTTAATGAAACTGACAACAAGCAATTGTTTATTTATTTCATAAAATGTCATCACTGAATTATTCAAAGAAATAAGTTGTGAGAACCGGTTAAAAAGGGAAATGTACAAATTATTTTCGTCATTCACCGATCTTGATATTGACAGAAGCTTCTAGAACATCATATAGCATCGAGCCCGATGTTAAAAAGAAAAACGAGGCGATAATAGTCAGGTTCCCGAGACCCCTCTGCTTTTATTACTGGGGGTCTCGGGAACCTAACTAAGGCGATAACAGCTGCATGAACATAAAAATAAAAGCTTTTGTGTGAATGGTCATTGAAATAAATAAATGGTAAATCATTGATAACATTATGAGTTGTGAATAACTGAATATATTTATACATCGAAAGACTATTACATATATGTAGTAGGTTTTCCTAATAAATTTATCGATAATATTTGTATATATTCCTTACTGAGAGCATCGTGGCAATGAACCCGAAGTACAGTTTGTACTTTTTAGGTCACCTGAGTCACTCAGGTGACCTATTGCTAACTGTTTTCGTCCGTCGTCGTGCGTCGTCCGTCGGTCGTAAACTTTTGAACATTTTCAGCTTCTTCTCTTGAACCACTGTACCAATTTCAACCAATTTTGGCATATAGCATCAATGGGTGAAGGGGTACAAAAATTTTGAATTTCATGGTCCCTGCCCCCCTGGGGCCTGAGGGGTGGGGCTAAAACCATCAAAATTAATGCTATCTTTAAAAATCTTCTTCTTTACTCCCGGACATCAAGCAGTCAAACTGTTGGCATCATTGTAATAAGCATTGAGTTCTCTACCAAAATTGTGAAATTCATGGCCCCAGGGTCAGGGGTTCTGGTGTTAGGGCGGGGCTATATAGATCATATAGTGAAAGTGCATTATTTCTTTGAAAATCTTCTTCTATACTCCTGGGTATTATTGAAAGAAATTGAATACATAGTTATGATAAGCAAGGGTGACTCTACCAAAATTGTGAAATTCATGGCCCCAGGGTCAGGGGTTCTGGTGTTAGGGTGGGGCTATATAGATCATATAGTGAATGTGCATTATTTCTTTGAAAATCTTCTTCTCTACTCCTGGGTATTATTGAAAGAAATTGAATACATGGTTATGATAAGCAAGGGTGATTCTACCAAAATTGTGAAATTCATGGCCCCAGGGTCAGAGATTCTGGTGCTAGGGTGGGGCTATATAGATCATATAGTGAAAGTGCATTATTTCTTTGAAAATCTTCTTCTCTACTCCTGGGTATCATTGAAACAAATTAAATACATGGTTATGATAAGTAAGAGTGACTCTACCAAAATTGTGAAATTCATGGCCCCAGAGTCAGGGGTTCTGGTGCTAGGGTGGGGCTATATAGATCATATAGTGAAAGTGCATTATTTTTTTGAAAATCTTCTCTACTCCTGGGTATTCTTGAAACAAATTAAATACATAGTTATGATAAGTAAGAGTGACTCTACCAAAATTGTGAAATTCATGGCCCCAGGGTCAGGGGTTCTGGTGCTAGGGCGGGGCTATACAGATTATATAGTGAATGTGCATTATTTTTAGCTCACCTGAGCTGAAAGCTCAAGTGAGCTTTTCTGATCACCCGATGTCCATCGTCCGTCCGTCCGTACGTCTGTCTGTAAACTTTTCACATTTTCAACTTCTTCTCAAGAACCACTGGGTCAATTTTAACCAAACTTGGTACAAAGCATCCTTGGGTGAAGGGGTGTTTAAATTGTTGAAATGAAGGGCCAAGTCCCCTTCAAAGGGGAGATAATCAAGAAAATACAAAAATTGGGTGGGGTCATTAAAAAATCTTCTTCTCAAGAACCAGTGGGCCAGAAAAGCTGAAATTTATGTGGAAGCATCCTTAGGTAGTATTGATTCTAAATTGTTCAAATCATGACCCCCGGGGGTAGGGCGGGGCCACAATAGGGAATCCAAGTTTTACATTGAAATATGTAATAAAGATCTTTAAAAATCTTCTTCTCAAGAACCACTGGGCCAGAAAGGCTGAAACTTATGTTGAAGCATCCTGGGGTAGTGTAGATTACAAATTGTTCAAATCATGACACCCGGGGGTAGGGCGGGGCCACAATAGGGAATCCAAGTTTAACATTGAAATATATAGTAAAAATCTTTAAAAATCTTCTTCTCAAGAACCACTGAGCCAGAAAAGGTGAAACTTATGTGGAAGCTTTCTGGGTTAGTGTAGATTCTAAATTGTTCAAATCATGACCCCCAGGGGTAGGGTGGGGCCACAATAGGGAATCCAAGTTTTACATTGAAATATGTAGTAAAAATCTTCTTCTCAAGAACCACTGGGCTAGAAAGGCTGAAACTTAAGTAGAAGCATCCTGGGATAGCGTAGATTCTAAATTGTTCAAATCATGACCCCCGAGGGTAGGGCGGGCCACAATAGGGAATCCAAGTTTTACATTGAAATATATAGTAAAAGTCTTTAAAAATATTCTTCTCAGGAACCAATGGGCCAATAAAGCTGAAACTTATGTGGAAGCATTCTGGGGTAATGCAGATTCTAAGTTGTTCAAATCATGACCCCCGGGGGTAGGGCGGGGCCACAATAGGGAATCCAAGTTTTACATTGAAATATGCAGAAAAAATCTTTAAAAATCTTCTTCTCAAGAACCACTGGGCCAGAAAGGCAGAAACTTCAGTGGAAGCATCGTTGGGATAGTGTTGATTCTATTTGTTCAAATCATGACCCTTGGGGGTATTGCGGGGCCACAATAAGTACTACAAGGGGGTGAAATCAGGTGAAAAACAGCAAGGCCAAAGTTACTTAGGTGAGCGTTGTGGCCCATGGGCCTCTTGTTTTGAAAATCTTCTTCTCTACTCCTGGGTATTATTTAAATAAACTAAAGGCTCTATTAATTTGTAGTATACTGAGAGGAGTTATTCCCCTTTGCCATTTACTTTTGATAATTAATCACTGTAAATAATGTACTTCAAAGGTTGATAGAATAAGAGAATTATGCAAGAATTTTTATTGTATAATACAAAAAGTACTTTCATAGTTTTAATGATCAGGTAACTTGTAAGTAATAGATAAATAAAAATGAGACAAAAATAACTTGTCTTATTAAAAGTTCATCAAAGACCAAGAGAGGCCGATGTAAGGGATTTCAAAAAGGAACTAATATAGTAGAAAAGCACTGATAGTTTGATAATATACTGTATGGTGATAGTGATAAATGGGGAACAGATTAGAAGCTAATTATGAACTGTTAATGAATACTAGACTAACTATTTTGTTGATCCTGATCACCCTATTTTTCTTGCTTTTGGGCAACAAAGCTTCATCTTTCAGTTCATTTTATACTCTGTGGATCCTCTAAATTGTTGTATTATACTCAGGTGACCGTTAAGGCTCTTGGGCCTCTTGTTTAATTTTTTTTTTTACAAAAAAGGGGTGGGGGTGGAGACACATATCTACTTCATGCGGGATTTTGAACAAAGTAGTGCTTTCTGCCATAAACCTGTAAGCTGTCGGTAGAAACTACAATATTTTTTGTCGGTAGTGGTATATAAATTCAATACCCCGTGCTTGCGCGGGATTTCATCTCGTTTATATAAAAGCATCATCAGATAGTGTAATATATATAGGGGGGGGGGGGGGGGAAATCTGCTGATGGAGCAGGAACAGCAGGGCCATAGAAACTCAGATGAGCAATGTGGCCCATAGGCATCTTGTTATTTTTTTGACTTAGTCTCTGGTTTATTTTTTACTTATTCTCAAGAACGTCTAGGTAAACGAGTGTTTGTTCAAATCTTGGTCCCAGGGCTAGGGTGGGACAACGAAAGGGGATCAAATTTAATTTTACATGGAATACATGAACATAAAATCAACATTTAAGGGGAAGAAGGACCTTGAGCTGAAAAAATACTTGTCATTCAATTTTTTTCATATTTTGTATATTTCTAGCTAAGTATGTCCCACATATCTAAAAGCATTTATATCATTAGGTTTCTTACTTATTTTAGAGATATTGATTGACAAATACTATGCCCTACAGTATACAAGTGGAGTTTTAATTCCCCATGTTTCTGGGCTCATTACTCTGTCCATAATGGGATTTTTTAAGCATATATAAAAAATATGCAAATGGACATGTATCTTTTAAAATATTCATAGTATGAATAGGGTTTTAAATTCGAAGAAGCAAGTTTCTTCTATCACACTGCATCTGGATAGAGAAAATTACATACTTTTTAAGACCACTTAAACAACAAAAAACGTAATTTACAAAAAATTCTATCATTCAATATTTTTAAATTTACATTGAAATGCAAGTCCTTCATATCATTGATTAACTGTAAAAATTTCGAATGGTGAAGATGACCTCAATATTGCACAGGACATCGTTAAAGAAGACATAAGCACGACAAAAACGTGTCATGTTTACATTTCTCAAGTACGGGAAAAACCAACTATGACATCACACGTAAGCTAAATAAGCGAAATAAGATATACCTACATAAGATTTCCGTCATCAGACATGCAAAAATAATTTTTGTGTTCCCCGTTTTTAGGTCACCTGAGTCACTCAGGTGACCTATTGCTATCTGTTTTCGTCCGTCGTCATCCGTCGGTTGTAAACTTTTGAACATTTTTAACTTCTTCTCTAGAACCGCTCAACCAATTTCAACCAAATTTGGTATATAGCATCTATGGGTGAAGGGGGACAAAAATTTTGAATTTCATGGTCCCTGCCCCCCCCCCCCCCCCCCCCCCCCCTGAGCCTGAGGGGTGGGGCTAAAACCACCAAAAATAATGCAATCTTTAAAAATCTTCTTCTTTACTCCTGGACATCAAGCAGTCAAACTGTTGGCATCATTGTAATAAGCATTGAGCCCTCTACCAAAATTGTGAAATTCATGGCCCCAGGGTCAGGGGTTCTGGCCCCAGGGTGGGGCTATATAGATCATATAGTGAAAGTGCATTATTTCTTTGAAAATCTTCTTCTCTGCTCCTGGGTATTAAATAAAGTTACTAAGTACATAGTTATGATGAGCAAGAGTGCCTCTTCCAAAATTGTGAAATTCATGGCCCCAGGGTCAGGGGTTCTGGTGTTAGGGCGAGGCTCTATTGATTATATAGTGAAAGTGCATTAATTCTTTGAAAATCTTCTTCTCTGTTCCTGGGTATTAAATAAAGGAACTAAGTATATAGTTATGATGAGCAAGAGTGCCTCTTCCAAAATTGTGAAATTCATGGCCCCAGGGTCAGGGGTTCTGGTGTTAGGGCGGGGCTCTATTGATTATATAGTGAAAAAGCATTAATTCTTTGAAAATCTTCTTTGCTCCTGGGTATTAAATAAAGTAACTAAGTACATAGTTATGATGAGCAAGAGTGCCTTTTCAAAAATTGTGAAATTCATGGCCCCAGGGTCAGGGGTTCTGGTGTTAGGGCGGGGCTCTATTGATTATATAGTGAAAATGCATTAATTCTTTGAAAATCTTCTTCTCTGCTTCTGGATATTTAATAAAGTAACTAAGTACATAGTTATGATAAGCAAGAGTACCTCTTCCAAAATTGTGAATTTCATGGCCCCAGGGTCAGGGGTTCTGGTGTTAGGGCGGGGCTCTATCAACTATATAGTGAAAATGCATTAATTCTTTGAAAATCTTCTTCTCTGCTCCTGGGTATTAAATAAAGTTACTAAGTACATAGTTATGATGAGCAAGAGTGCCTCTTCCAAAATTGTGAAATTCATGGCCCCAGGGTCAGGGGTTCTGGTGTTAGGGTGGGGTTCTATTGATTATATAGTGAAAATGCATTAATTCTTTGAAAATCTTCTTCTCTGCTCCTGGGTATTAAATAAAGGAACTAAGTACATAGTTATGATGAGCAAGAGTGCCTCTTCCAAAATTGTGAAATTCATGGCCCCAGGGTCAGGGGTTCTGGTGTTAGGGCGGGGCTCTATTGATTATATAGTGAAAAAGTATTAATTTTTTGAAAATCTTCTTTGCTCCTGGGTATTAAATAAAGTAACTAAGTACATAGTTATGATGAGCAAAAGTGCCTTTTCAAAAATTGTGAAATTCATGGCCCCAGGGTCAGGGGTTCTGGTGTTAGGGCGGGGCTCTATTGATTATATAGTGAAAATGCATTAATTCTTTGAAAATCTTCTTCTCTGCTTCTGGATATTTAATAAAGTAACTAAGTACATAGTTATGATGAGCAAGAGTACCTCTTCCAAAATTGTGAATTTCATGGCCCCAGGGTCAGGGGTTCTGGTGTTAGGGCGGGGCTCTATCAACTATATAGTGAAAATGCATTAATTCTTTGAAAATCTTCTCCTCTGCTCCTGGGCATTAAGGTGATAAACTAAGTACATAGTTATGATGAGGAGGTGGGCCTCTTCCAGAATTGTGAAAGCCATGGCCCCTGGGTCAGGGGTTCTGGTGTTAGGGCGAGGCTCTATTGATTATATAGTGAAAATGCTTTTATTCTTTGAAAATCTTCTTCTCTGCTCCTGGGTATTATTTAAACAAACTAAGTGCATGGTTATGATGCATAAGGATGCCTTTTCAAAAATTGTGAATTTCATGGCCCCAGGGTCAGGGGTTCTGGTGTTAGGGCGGGGCTCTATTGATTATATAGTAAAAATGCATTGGTTCTTTGAAAATCTTCTTCTCTGCTACTGGAGATTATTTAAACAAACTAAGTGCATGATTATGATAGACAAGGATGCCTCTTCCAAAATTTTTAAATATATGGCCTCAGTTTTTGGGGTTCTTGAGGAGGGGGGGGGGGGGCTCTATTGATTATATAGTGAAAAAGCATTAATTCTATTAATTAATCATTAATTAATCCTGTCTGCTCCTTAGTGTTGAGCTGATAAATAAATTGCTTAGCTATGATGAAAATGGGAGCTTCGAACAGAATTTTTAAATCTTGTGGTCCTAGGGTTAGGGGTTCTGGCATAACGAGGGGGGGGGGGGCTTTTGATAATATAGTGGAAAAGTGTTAATTCTTTGAAGTCCATAGTTATGATGATGAGGGTAACTCTTCCAAATTTGTAAATTTCTTGACCCTTGGTCTTGGGTTCTGGTGTTAGGGTAAGGCTTTGTAGAATCTGTAGTGAAAATGCATTGTACCTGTGAAATTCTTCTCTGCTTCTGGGCATATCGGAAGCAAACTGAGTAAAAGTTTAAATGATATGAGTAAGCGTATTTCTACCAGATTTTTAAACATCTGGATGATTCGTCTTAGCATTCTGGTCCTGGGCAGGGCTCTATTAATTTGTATTCTACTGAGAGAAGTTATTCTCCTTTTCCATTCATCTTTGATAATTAATCACTGTAAATAATGTATTTGAAAGGTTAATAGAATAAGATAATTATGCAAGAATGTTTATCGTATAATTAAAAAAGTACTTTCTTAGTTTTAATAATCAGGTAGACCTGTAAGTAATAGATAAATAAAAATGAGACAAAAATAACTTATCTTATTAAAAGTTCTTCAAAGACCATAAGAGAGGTCAATGCTAGAGGTCTTAATATGGGTTTAAAAATAGTACAGAAGCACTAATAGTTTGTTAATAGTCTGCATGGTGATAGTGTTAAGTGGGGGACAGATTAGAACTTAATTTATGAGTTGATACTGAATACTAGACTAATTATTTTGTTGATCCTGATCTTCCTACTTCTCTTGCTTTAGGGCAACAATGCTTCATCTATCAGTGTATTTAACTTCTAAATTGTTGTATTATACACAGGTGACCGTTAAGGCCCTTGGGCCTCTTGTTCAAAATATTTCATCATATACTGATTATGACCCTTTTTACATAATAATACCGTGCCTGCATTCACCGAGTATGATCTTGCTGTACTAACAGATCGTGTATGACGTCACTCTCTTGCTGGACGCGCAGTTTAGGGAAACAGAGGAGTGGATCAATCTTTTTCAGAATTTTTTAATGTTTGCAGGAATGTTAAAACTTTTTATTTTTTTTAAATTTAAAATGGTAATTAAAGAAAAAAATTGTCTCAGAAATGTACAAGAACTAATGCTTTACACATTTTGAACTTATATAAACGGAGACTATGACGTAGTTTAACAGAGTCATGTGATCATGTGTCCTTCACCTCCTTAAAAATGTTCTTCTCAAGGACAGTAGGGCACAATTAGTACATGTAATATATATTCATACACAAGCATCTTCATCTAGTGTTAAATTAAATTAAGATTCCAAGGACAAGGATGTGCCATATTATAAGGGTCAAGGTTTTCATTAAGAATCTTTTTCAATCTTTTTCTCAAGAATTTAAGGTCCACAATTAGTAATACACAATGTACTGATATACAGACCCTCATTTAGTCTAGATTCAAGTATATGTAAATCATGGCGGGATGGGACCACAATGAAAGTTTAACATTGGAAATATCAGACAAAATCTGTTTTTAAAAAATTCCAAAGAATAGCAGGGTCATAATGAAGAGTAAAGAATTTTCATATGTTGGTACAAATTTTTTCAAATAAATTTGATGGCATGAGGCAAGGACAGGGCTTCATGTATAATAGTCTAGATTAATAGATAATAAACCCTGGGGTTAAGCATTCATATGCAGTGTTAATTTCAAGTTTAATCTCATGTAAGCTTTGCAGCCAATGAGCCTCTAGTCTGTTGGAAAGAAAAGTACTTTGTTATAACATATTTCATTTGTGGTCCCTGACTTCTCCCTGTTGATTTGATTAAATATAATATTGTGTACAAGTATCTAGTTTTCACTTTATGAGAGATTTATTTATCATTTTTTTGTTTTTAGTTATAAAACTCTTTTTCTTTGATATTTTAGATAAGTCTATTAAGGAAAAAACTAGAAAAAAGAAGAGTTAAAATATCAAAAGTTACTGAAAGGTAAGGAGTGTGAAGAAATGAGGATCTAATTATCAAATAAAATTTACAGGCATGGGTTGATTTAAAGCTGACTACACCACTTTTTACTAAGTATAATTTAAGTAAAACTTTTAAAATTCAAATTGAATGGTGAAGTTTAAGCTGACTGATTTTGTCGTCTTTTCATTATACTGTAAAATCACATATTTTCATGGGGTCAAATTTTCATGGTTTCATGGGTTTGTGGGGATTTGATTTTGTTGGCAGAGAATTGTTGGGTAGTTTTGTATATGATATTTTACATTTCATGGTGGACATGAATTCGTGGGTTTCTTCATACCTCAAAAACAATGAAAATTAAACTCCCACGAAAATTAGTGATTTCACAGTATGTACATGAGATATGGATATTAAGTTATATATAATATTCATTAAAAATTAATTTAAAAAAAAAGGTAATCCTGTACATGTAATAGCCAAAGAAGAATCACTTGACATTTTTAACACTGCAAAGGAAAGTCTTTCTTAAAAAATTGAGTCATTGCCCCTCATTGAGTGTTGTGTGCCAGTAAAATTTTTTCAGTGCAATTTGCACTTATTTTTTCTTACTTTCACCATCGGAAATATTCAACTGAAAAGAAATTATGACAAGAATTTACACCAAAACCGGAAAGAAAACGAGCAATAACTTTGTTGTGTGATAAATTATCTGACAGCTGAACTTTTGATCAGACTGTATGTTTGTGTTTCAGTTATTTAGCGTATTATGAGCAGTTTGCAGAATTTGATGCTTTTATAACTGCTCCAGACCCCTCTAATCCCTGGATATCTGACAGTACCGATTTCTGGGAGCAGGAAAAAACTCTGTAAGTATGTCAACCATGATAACCATTTATATATACATGTATAATCATACAGCAGTAAATACAAGCAGATGTTTTCCATCCATTTTATTGACATTGCATGTATTGTTAATTGCTTGAAATCTTGATTATGAGATATACAATTTAGTTTTTTTTTTTGTAATCGTATTGCGATATTGATTTTTGAAACAATAAAATTAGATTCTAAAGGAATTGGAGTAAAAAATATATATATTCTAATTTCGGGGACTTAAGAGCTTGCAAGCTTTTTTTAAGTTTCAAAGATGTTTTATGATCACCCCATTGTGAAAACTTCAGAAATCCACGAGATATTCCCCAGCGAAGGGTAAAGCGATGGGCTTTCAATGTAGAAGAATTACTCAAAGACCCTGCTGGAAAGGACCAGTTTAGTAAATTTTTAGACAAGGAATTTAGTGGAGAAAATCTTAAGTAAGTGACTATATAAAATAATGTAGAATGTAAGTTATTGGACAATTTATTCTGGCAATTTTTATAATTCATTCTTTTATCTAATTGTTTAATATATGTAATATATTTACATGTATGTCTGTGTATCATATGTAGTTTTAACTTTGAACAGATTTTGGTTGGCTTGTAAAGAATTGAAAGGTTTACCTATCAGGGAAGTACATCGCAAAGTACATGAAATATTTACGTAAGTATTTTGAGTATTGAGATGACAAATTGATATATGAGAAGGCATTTGAAAAGTTTGGAACATTTTTTGATAAAATGGTCACCAAAAGTTAGAGCTGTGTTTTCAAGAACTTTATTTTGCTGTATAAATGTGCTGCTTGGATTATTCAATCATGCCAGAACTTTGTATTATGGACTGTCTTTTGACCTGTATATTTTCTTTCATGATTTTACACTACAAGTTTTAAAAATCCTATGGACTCTTTTCCAGCATTGACGTGCATTTTGTATGTTAAACATAATAATTAAATTAATTTCCATGCCTTACCCTTAAGCAGAGCTACAAACCCTTAAGATTTCAGTGTAAGACTTGCGGTTTGAGCATCTAAAATATGCCTTACAATTTCTCTTTATATTCTTCAGATTTCTGTTTTTCTCCATCAAAAGGTTCCAATACAGTAATTTTCATAGCTGTACTATGTTTCACCTTCAGTTTTTCACTATTATCAGGAGTATAATTAAAAAAAATTCATAGTCGTAACAGAGCTTGCTTGTATTGTCATTCGGTTTTTATTCTAATGCAATCTAAATCATTTTAAAGTTAACAAAAAAAGAGAGAAAAATCAATTCACAAATAAATACTCCAGCAGCCATGAGCCTAGGCTACCCCTGGACCCCCCCTTATGATTTTTAGCTCTACTGGTCAGAGACCAGAAGAGCTTATGCGATAGTAACGTGTCCGTCGTCCGTCCGTCTGTCTGTCTGTCTGTCCGTCTGTAAACAATTTTTCAAAATGCTACTCCTCCTACAGTTTTGGTCTGATTTCAGTATAACTTGGCACACAAGTAGACTATACTAAGATGCATAATTCTGTGTATCGGTTTTTGATTTCGATGAACGGTGTTGCCATGGTTACTAAAAATAGAAATTTCCTTGAAATACCTTCAAAATGCTACTCCTCCTACAGTTTTGATCTGATTTCAATATAACTTGGCACACAAGTAGACTATACAGAGATGCTTAATTCTGTGTATCTGTTTTTGATTTTGATGAACGGTGTTGCCATGGTTACTAAAAATAGAAATTTCTGTGAAAAACATTCAAAATGCTACTCCTCCTACAGTTTTGATCTGATTTCAATATAACTTGGCACACAAGTAGACTATACTAAGATGCATAATTCTGTGTATCGGTTTTTGATTTCAATGAACGATGTTGCCATGGTAACTAAAAATAGAAATTTCTGTGAAATACTTTCAAAATGCTACTCCTCTTACAGTTTTGGTCTGATTTCAATATAACTTGGCAAACAAGTAGACTACACTAAGATACATAATTCTGTTTATCGGTTTTTGATTTCGATGAACATTGTTGCCATGGTTACTAAAAATAGAAATTTCCTTGAAATACCTTCAAAATGCTACCCCTACAGTTTTGGTCTGATTTTAGTATTACTTAGCATACAAGTAAACTACACTAAGATACATAATTCTCTGTACCAGTTTCGGATTTTGATGAATGGTGTTGCCATGGTTACTAAAAATAGAAATTTTCTTGAAATACTTTCAAAACGCTAATCCTCCTACACTTTTTGTCTGATTTCAGAATAATGTGGCATACAAGTAGACTACAGAGATACATAATTGGTGTTATTGTTTTTTGATTTTGTTGAATGATGTTGCCATGGTTACTTAAATCAAAATTTCAGTAAAATTGTTTTAAAAGGCTACTCCTCCTACAGTTTTAGTCTGATATAATAATAAATCTTGCCAAAAAGAGACTAAACCAAGGATCATTATTCTATTTATTGCTGTTGCAAAGTTTCAAGTCCAAGTGCTACTTTTATCTTCCTTTATAAATACAACCAGTAGAGCTACAGTCTCATCAGAGACTTCTGGTTCATTTAATAATGTTGGCAGATCAGCTTTAAGAAGCTACAAAGTTACCCCGGTAATTGTTAACTAGTAATTCTCTAATAAGACTATAGGAGGATTTCTTAGAGAAAAATATAACACTGCTGCTTTCATGTACATGTACTAGAGTTTCTTTATTTGCTTAAGAAGTACATTACAGCACTAAAAACTGCAACAAAAAAATGCCTAGTATTTTTATTTTTGTCACATATAAAAGGTCAAATGCAGTAATTACTCTTCTCCTAGTTCTGTAGAGTCATTAGAACAGAGAAAGTGATATGGGCCTAATTACATTTACATAATTGACAAGGCAGTCTGATTAGATCTAATCATTGTGGATTATTTTAGGGAATTTCTAGCACCTGGTGCACATAATCCAGTTAATGTTGACGGAACCATCACAGAACTTGTGAGGAACCGAATGGAAGTTAACCCAACGAGATACGTTTTTGATGAAGCTCAGGTAGTATGGTTTGAATGAATTAATAATCAATTTTACAGTAAGACAATATACCATCTTTGTTGTTCCATTTAAATTTGTTGGTACATGGTGGTGTGTTGGTGATTTAACTTAAGGAATAAATTCTTCTTTTTTTTTTAAATGATTTTTTTTTTTAAAGAAAATTAAAGTGATAACAAAATTGAGTTTGTAAGTAAATCAGGACTTTCACAGTTTCTTAAAATATAGACAGCTATTAGCTCTCAAAATTACTGGCATGTGTGAATGTTTTCTAATCAGCATCCTGATAATAGTTTACTAGAAAAATTATCTCTTTTTTTGTCATCTCTTATTTCAGGACCATATATTTAAATTAATGAAAAGTGACAGCTATAGTCGATATCTACGATCTGACCAATATAAGGAATTCCTCAGTGGCACACGGAAAAAAGTAAGACTCTTGCCTGCCATTGCAAGCAACTTTTCAGCCTTCAAACATTCGTGAGTCAGTGGTTAAATGTCCCCCCCATGCCTGCTGATACTTACGTAATGCTGTGGTACAGCATGTGCCTTCCTGTTTGCCGGTTCGGCAAATCAGTGTTCAGTATTGTTGTCTTCTGTTTTTTTATTCAGTTGTACCAATGTCTTACATGCCAAAATGAAATGTTGAGGGTAATTCTGCATTAATATCAAATATTATTTTTTTATTTTTCTAGTATAATGCATAACACAGTTATGAATTTCATAGTGATAAAACATCAAGATTGTGAACAATTATCATAAAAGAAGAAATTAAAAGACAAAGTATTAGAAGAAATTAAAAGATTAAAAGTATTAGAGAAAGGCAAATTTAGTGGCTATAAGTTAAATGCTGTTTGGTTATATGAAGATTTCAATGCTAAGAGAATCTTTCATTTTCATCAGATGTGACAAATCCTGTATTAAATTTATTTTTTGTAAGGGACAACATTTTAACATGCTCGTAACAAAAAAATCATTATCATTTTCTTTTTTTTCATCAATTTATCAATTTTGAATTTGTTTTAATTCCTCATATCAGTGAATATACAAAAATTAATTCTCAATTCAGGAAGATTTGAAATTCCTATATATCTCTCTGATTTTGGTTGATCTGTGATGACTTTGCCTGTTCATCTTTTAAAAGATTCCAGTAAATTCCAGAGTCAATTAACAATATACAGTGTAATACAATCTAAATGATACAGTAGTTGGCTATGTATCAGTTGATCAAACCCCATGAAGTTTATAGATAAGCCACAAGATATGGCATATATTTTAAATATGATACATGTGTATGACATATATTTTAAAAATATTTTAGATATTTTTGTATTTTAACAACTTTGATAATAACAACAGTTTATAATTTTAACATTACCTCATGTTGTTGTTTTTTTCTTTATTCATCTACTGGTATGTTGTAATCCATTCTGTTGTGATTAAAACCTTTTGAAAAATAGTTTTAAGTGCTTACTATATTTATCTTTTATTTAAAGCAATTATGTATGCATAGTTTTCTTCAAGGAAAAATAAATGTTCAGCTTTTCATTGCTAGCTCTTTATTTTAAATGAAAGTTCTGCTTTTTTAGTAACATATATTATGTGTTATTCACAGGCTTTAGTTCCTTTATTATCTCATTTGATATTTAATTCAATTAGTATACTGCTCCCCCCTATTTGGTTAAAATTTTATAATTGTGATATTTGTTTAAAATGATGGAAAACTTTTTTTTACACATATTTATAAACATTATAAGATTACATTAATTCCCATCTTCATACCTTTTTACAACTTTGCAATAAACAGGTGATATTTATTTGAATTCTCAGTTTCTTTAACTTGTAGAGGTACCTGTATTTATTGACAGCTTATTACTAAGATACTCCTACTGAAAAAGAAATATTTAATTTACAGATGATTTATCTTCAGACTTAACTTTATATATGTGAAAAAGAAAAAATCTGAAATACAGTTAAAACTTGGTATCTCAAATACGTTGGGACTGTTGCTAAACTTTTAAGATATGTAAGTGTTCAAGATATTGAATTTCAAATCAGTAATAAAATTGGGACTGTCAACTCACTTTTACATATCGCAATATCCCTGGTATTTGACATATCAATGTTTGAGATTTTGAAGTTGAACTGAAGAAGGAAAGTATTGTTTAGCTAAGATAATGGTACACATTTTACCAGATATACTTATTTCTTTTCCAATTTTAATCTGTGTCTGAAATAGTAGTATTTATGCCCTGCCATGTCATGTCCATCTTCTGTCCTTCCATCACACTTTGCATTTAGCTCAATTTCAAAGAAACTATTCAAGATATTTATATCAAAATTCATAGACTAATGCATAATGATGAGAGCTATTCAACTGCATCAATATTTTTTAACCTTTTCTTTGACCCTGACCTTTCTTAATTTGTGTTTGGCTAAGTTTCAAAGAAAATATTCAAGATATTTTTATTAAACCTTATATGCTGATACATATTGATGAGACTTTTCAACTGCATTAATATTTTTTTTGACTTTGACCTTTCCTTTGACCCTGACCTTATTTTAATTTGTGTTTAACTAAGTTTCAAAGAAACTGTTCAAGATATTTTATCAAACCTAATATACTGAAATATATTGGTGAGAGTTATTCAACTGCATCAACATTTTGGACCTTGACCTTTCCTTTGACCTTGACTTTATTTTTGTCAAATTTCTGTTTAGCTTAGATTTAAGAAACAAATCAAGACATTTTTATCAAATTTTATTTGCTTAATATAGATTTTGGTGAGTGCTATTTAACTGCATCAAATTTTTTTGACCTTGCCCTTTCCTTTGACCTTGACCTCACCTTTCTTATTTGCACTTAGCTCAGTTTCAAAGAAACTACTGTATCCAAAATATTTTTATGTAAGCTTAATTTGGTAAGAATTCATCAACTGTGGCCATTTTGTTTTTTACCTTGACCTTTCCAATGACCTTTGACTTTACTATTTATTGTGTGTAAAACTCAGTTTTAAAAGAAATTATTCAAGATATTTGCATCAAACTTCATACACCAATACAAATTTTCATGTTACATTACTAATGAGCCCTGCATTGGGCACTCATGTCCTGTGGACATATTTCTAGTTTTATTTTATCTCTGTTGATTTTTGTATTAAATGATCAGACCAGAATTTAACACATTCAGAATAGATCCATGTTTGTTCAGATCATTTCAAAATTCTAATTGTATGTGATGTTAAAGTGCTTGTGAAAATGGGGAAAGGTTGTACTTTAAGAGTTCCCTTTTTTTCATTTATTTTCACAGATATTACTATATCATTGAAAAAAAAACATAGCTGTGATAAGTGTCTCTCTGCCAGCATTAGTTGAGAGTTGTTTACAAGTATTTTACTAAAATATGTGTTTTTATTTACTATAAAATAGTATTTTGGTATGAGTGATTATGAATTGTTTATGCAGTAAAGGGCTGCCCACTAATTGCTAAATCTACATGTGTAGGCTTCTTTATGATTCTTTATGCTTGTCTACCTTTGTCTTGTAATATTTGGAGTTAGAAAAAGAGCAGAATTAAATATTTACTTAAATAGAACAAATTTCAGTTTATGCTGGTTTTATCATATTATTTTGCCCAGTCGTTGATTTCAGAATAGTTGCTATAGTAACATTAAATGTACTTAGGATAGATTATAAGTTGTATAGAATAGATGCCTAGAATTAACATTACATGTATATTTTGGGTTAATCATAATTTAATTTCTTAATCTGCAGCTTGTTCGTATGAAGGTCGGTTCTTACATTTTAGTTATAGATGTGCCAATAGCCAAAGCACTGTATTGTTTCTAAGCATAAACCTACTGTTGTCTTAAAACTATACATATTCTAAGCTTTCAAAATTCCAATTCTTACCAAATTTTTAACTATATACAAGAGTGTATACCCTCCACTTTCTTAGCTATTTTGTGCAAGTTCTGAAGACAGTATTTTATCCTTGACCTCTTTTCATCTGATAAATTCTTGCTGTGGTTTGCATTAAAAAAGAGATAATTCATATACTGTGTCTATAAAGAGCACAAACAAAATTGACATTGGAAATATTTTTGAGTACATGTACTAGCTAATATATCACATTTTGACGCCAAATTAAACATGATACTAGTAGTCTATATCAAAAGAAAGATAATGTTTTTTAAAGGCATTTTTGAAAAAAAAAAACCATGCAGGTATAATTTGAAAGAAACTGATAACGAAAAGATAGAAATGTTCTTTACTAAATTGCAGAATGCTTTCTCTCCTTGTGATGTAATAACTGACTGTTTAGATTATTTTACTAAGTTTTTTGTATAGAATACCTTAAGGACAAAATTCTGGAAAATACTTGTATTTCAAATTTGAAACCAAGTTAGATGGACAATAAATGCAATAAAACATTGTTAAATCTGACATCGCATTTTGATCCAATGATTTTTTATACAGTAAAAATTTAAAAGCTAGCTATTTCATGGATTCAAAAAGAGACACCAGAGCAATCATCATTAATAAATTAAATAATTAGTTAATTAATTAATTAAATAAATAAAATGTGCCATTGGATTATGAATCAGATTTTGGACATTTTAAGCAGATTGTCAGCAAGAACTTTCTATATTCTATTCCAGCTGTATAATCATTTTTTTTTCTTGCACAAGGTTTTGCAAAAATCAGTATCACACATCTAGAAAAGTATAATGTCTAAGACTTTTTTTTTTTACAACTATTTATTTAGGTAAAGATATTTCTTTAGAATAATGTGGTAATTAACACTAATGATTAACCAAGAAGTACTACATGTAGCACTTGCCTTTGTAAAGCTTATATATTATATAATTTATATATGTATGTATATTTTTGCAAAAATACTTTTAAATGAAGCTTATCAGTTTCTTTATTGATAAATTGGTAACATTCTAAGATATATTCAGCAGTAAAGTAATTTGCATGAGCATCATTTGCTTGATGAATATCTGTATGTTTAATGCCTGCACTCTGTAGTATTAATTCCTGGCTGTTTTCCTTTAGTTTTTGATTTGACTGCAGATGACTAACACATTTTGTACTATGATGACTGTGTCCCTCGGAGGTGCTACATAACTGAAATAAATTAAACCCTCATATTTATGATGTACATGTATTTTGGAACATGTTTCCGGAGAATATTGGTTTAAAACTAAATTGAGAAGTCTTAATTTTCTGTTGTTCAGAATCAGTAAGAAACCCTGCATGTTGTGGAGAAGAGGTCTTTTACTTTCTGTCAGTGATGAGGATTAATTTTTACCTTGTCTTTCTTTCTTCTATTTTTTTTATGGCATGCTTTGCAAATATTGTACATTCATCTAAATGAGATAGGGGTTTTACACAGTCCTCATTGGGAACATTTGGATTTGATGTAAAAGTTGTTTTGAACTATTAACATTTGTCCTTGTACAATACTTTTTACTAACTAACAAGAGTTTTATGGATGTTCTCCAGAATTGTATACACTTTTAAAGTGCAATATATCAATATTTATTTAATTGAAGAAATTTTTGCTGTATTTGGCTTTTGTTAACATGCACAGAAAAATTTACAGAAGATGAACAAAGATGTGTGTATACTTGCATAAAGTAATTAATGATTTTATCACAAGGAGGCATCCATTTCTCTACTAACCATTCTTGTTACTACTAATACTGTGTATTGTTAATTGTCCTTTTGTTTCTGACAGACTAGATCCATTATACCAAAGTTACCGAGTTTAAATCTGGGTGGACAGTGAGCTTGCATGGAACATGTTATTGCACAATTCAACACCCATCATTCAGCACTCAAAATGGCTTCCCTATTGTCCAAAGAACTTTATCCTGATTGGCTGTAACTGCTTTGCACACCTTTTTGTGTCTGTTATTGCTACTTGTATGCTACTTGCTGTATGGTTTAAGGAATTTTACACACTTAACTGCTGAATATAATATTAAACTTTATGAAAGTGGCTTTGTGATAAGCCAGCAAATGATCTTTGTATATGTTTTATATGTAGGAACTTTTTATCCTTGATCATTTAATTGTTTTCATACAATTTTTCCCTACCCATTTTCTAGATATAATTCTGTGTGTTATCAGTATATTTTGATATCTATATAGTATATTGACTTTTTCAGAATTATGGCAGGTTTTTTTTTCTCACTTCGTGCATATTTACTCAATTGCAGAGTCGTAAACGGTTGGAGATAAGAAAAGTAGCCGTTTGACCAGAATGTGATTTCTAAGATGACTGTGTGATTGACTTAAATCGGCTTCCAATTATTGACCGGAAAAGGTCCAGATTTAGTTTTATGTTTATACTGGACAACAAATTCACAATTCTGCTCTCAGACAGCAATCGTGCTTACAAAGCAATGAGGAAATTAGCCATTTCAGTTGATATTTTCTCTTTCATTTTAAATTTTCTTCCCATTACAGGTTAAAGCCATACAATAAAAGTCGACCAAATATTAATATTGCAGCCACATTCATATATTGGTTGGTTTTATCCTTTAATATGATAGGTTTTTTTTTTTTCATTGCTATGTATATGTATACTTTTAAACGTCTGTGATAATTTAAGCTGTAACAAAAACCAACTTCACCATATTGTACAGTGTTATAGGATTTCAAATACCTTGCAAAATGATGCTCAACTGAAAATTTTCATGATACTTCTCAAGAAGAAAAAAAAATCTCAAAGGACACATAATATGATCAGAGATGAAAATATTTGTTTAATTTTCACCTGTTTTAATATATTATCTAAAAATTAATATATTTTTGCTTTTAACATATCAATTAAACCTTCGTGTAAATTTGTCATGTTAAAAAAAGGAGACATACATACAGGTATATATATCTACTCTAGATTTTTGTACATATATATGACATACATGTATACGTTCGTCCTTGGCTTGTTATTATTTTTTCAGGTATAGAAATAGAGTGTTTTGTGGTGCTACTTTATTTTGTGTTCTGGGGCATTAAAACATTGGGGTTGTGCTGTATATAACAGGTAGATATAAACCTATTTCTGTGAAAACAGAATGTGAATAAAATTTGCATGATTTATATATGCATGCATATTCCACAAATTTTTGATTAATGACTATATCAAAAAAGTTTTCCAAATCTGGTATTTAGTAATTATGTAAGCTAGTCGATGGAAAAAGAGATTTCTCTTTTTTTAAAAAAAAATGTGCTTCATTCTGAAGAATGCTTCATTGTACCATAAAAAAGTATTATTCCATCAAATGCTGAAATAACTGCACAACGAAAAGAGCTTTTGTCATCCATTTGTTAAATCATTGCCAAACAATTTCTTCGTCTATGATTTTAGGGACCAAAAGGTATGATGTAATTATTACTTAAAGCAACCAAACTAGTAAAGAAATAATCTTAAAGATGCTTATTAATGATTTTTTACAAATTAATTTTTTTCCTTGCATAAAAATTTCTGGAAAGAAAGAGGTATATCTGTTTCAATAACCTATCAACTATTTTTGAAAGTTATTACCATGAATTTCAATATATATATGCTTAGAAACTTTAACATGAATGTCAAAAAAGGGTACCTATAGCTACCATTATTCTGAAAACTGTAAAGCTCTAAGGGAAATAGATAGGTAAATGCAAATCACCATTCATTGGTGACAACATAGCAAAATCTATGAAAAAAAAGGTCTATATCTTAACATATACATCAGTTTGCATATTTAAATGATACTGATGCAATGACTTTTTTGCTATAGGCATTTTCACTTGGTCTTTGTTTAATTATCACATAAATTCAAAGGAGTGAATCCTCCATCCAAAAGAAGAGATTTCACGAATTTCTTCTCAGAACGCAAAGTTTTGGAGAAATTCTTATTTTATGAAACATAGATCCTTAAGGAAATATGTTTATTTGGTGCTAATTATATAAATTTTATGGTACTCTGATATTTTTTTTTTATGACATCCCCGATTTTTTTTTCATTAACTGAATGGTTAACAAAACAAATGACTTTGTTCTATTAAGGCATTTAATATACCACTTCAGTGTGTTTTTAATGAATGAGAAAGGATTTTATTAATGCTGAAATTTTCCTTTCATACATTTTTTTTTACAACTTTCATCAAGAAAGTTAAGGTACATATAATTCACATTCATTTTGTCTGGTATTAGTTTTATGTGTGAAAAGTCTCTTACCATAATTGGTCATACCTGTATGTATATATCTTATACTTGTATATAAGTACTAGTATATTCTAGGACAGGTGAATGTGATTATGTGAGTGTAATAAACGTGTAATTTTGCAACGATGATACATGTTTAGAGGATATTGTTATATTGTTTGAAGGAAATTAAGACTTTGATATGTTTTTATCATTGATTTATCTCCCCTTGTTGTTTCTCTGATAGGCGATCTTAACAGAGAGTATGTACTGCATCTTTATGGAATATAAAATTACCCATAAAACACATTGCTGTGAATCTACAATTACCACATTCTGATTATAGGATAAATAAATTAAAGCATTCATTTGGAATTATGAAATAGAAGTTGGATTAAAATTCTTTGTATTAAAAATGAGACATCTGTCATAAAAGATTTTATTCATCACTCAGTCGTATTCATAGGTGAATTAAAATTGTTCAAGATTAGCTCAAAAAATTTTTTTATTCTAAAAGATGAAAAATGTCATATTTCAATGACCAAAGAAACATAGATGAAAAATTAATATAATGGACATTTCTAGGAGCACCACTTTCCTCATTATTCAAAGGTTTGTTCATTCCATTGCCCTCCATGTACTTGTTTTGATACCATACTACTGGGCATTTGGAATGCATTGGCCATGGCACATCTCTACAATGATACTGTTCTGATTGTTTTCTAATATATTAATAACATAAGTATTTAATAATTTGTTATTGTGGTGATTTTCCATAACAGGGGAGAGTTACTGTCAGTGATATAGCAATAAAGTTAAAGATCAAATCTACCATTGTCATGTGTCTTCAATCACATTGGAGTCAACTGTGCTCAATACATTTATTTTAAATATTTCTTTGAATTTTTAGGTCACCTTAATCACTCGGGTGACTTTTGCATTGGTCATTGTGTGTCATCCATTAACCATTGATTGTTTTTAACTTCTTCTTGATTACTCCTTGGCTAATTGTTTTCAAATTT